CAGAAGGCAATCAAACTGTATATTTCATCTGCGAGCCACGTCAGAGGATTCCTGCTATTTCCTTCACCGACGGAAGCAAATTTGGTTCGATCCCTGCAATTCTGTATCCGCGGAATCATTTACCTCCCGTCAGAAAAATCCTGGAGGTTGTATCGTACTACCATGCATAGGTTGTCCACAATTTCTGTCCCTCTTATCCACACCCGTTCACTAAACACTCCTCAGTTATCCGTGCCTCTCGTATCTCGCAAACGGGCGAGAAGGCACCGATCGAGATCGAACGTGCCGTACACGCGTCGATCGTGATTCACATGGCTCAAAATGGCAAGTTCAACACTGAGTTCAACTTGCACCGTCAGGTTACGACGGGGCGGCTTCGAATGAAGCCATTCGTCCCGCCGTAACGGAGGTAGTTTTCCAACAAGCACGCGGTTAAAATCAGCGAGGCGCTCGGAAACTTCAAGCAGACGAGTCACGATCAAGATCGAGAGATTGTGAATTTGTGAAGGATCTCCGGTGGTTGACTCGCACTGACGCACGATGCGCGTCTTTAAAGAGGATCAAACACCTTATAAGTCTTTTAACCCAAACGAGAACGGGTACCGACCCGACGACCCGACTCGGCATACGCAGGACGTTTTGTGTTGTTCTTGTACTCCCGGCCCAGGCGGTACACATGGTCTTTCTCACCTAGGCCTAGGGAAAGAATTACAAGGCGGAGTCAGAGACAAATTCCTCACGGTTGCAATTCTCATGGGTGACTTGAACCCTGCCAGTGGTACCCGACCGCGTAGGGATAGTGTGGCCACACTGTTGTTCGCTGTCTTCGGATATGGCAATCTACTGACCGGCATGGCCAACCGAGTCAGCCTCTTCTCAATTCTTGTGATTCTTCGGAACTCAATAACGCCATTCAACGGTAGCAGTCGCTGGCACATTTTGTGTAATCGATAGATATACCGGTAGGTTAAGTGGATCCGATGGGCCAATAAATTTGAATCATATCCACGTCCACTTACAATTAACTTACACGTCCGATTAAAAGCATGACTCGCCCCCCGCCCATCCTTCGCCGGTCAAGTCAGCGGCGGAATCATAAGCTCTGGGTATCACCCCGACCCTGCGCCCTACGCACATGCTACCGGAAATATTGGTTGGATCCTCTCAACAGTTGGATCAATATGATGCGTGTGGCCACAGGCATCTGTGGGTACCTCATCATTCTCCCTCAACAAATGAATATTTCCACCCGGATGTCCTGTGAAAAGGATGATGATTGTAATTCGCCGCCCCAGTCCCGAGATAAGGGGGAAAAAAATCGAAGAATGGAGAGAGCCAGCGTGATCTTTTGACTCACTGAAGCCTGACGCTAATTCGGATCGCGATGCGCGGTTCAATAGGGGTGGTTGATGGGAAGGAATGATGGGTCCATATGGGTCCAGGGAGGATGAGATTCCTCATTATGCGGTATCAAGATTGTCAACTCGCCAAGGTTGATGGAAGGGATGATGGGCGGTCCGTAGAGGTCCACCGGCAATAATATTGCTCATTATGCATTATGCACCTGATCGGCCAAGTGACCGTGTGGGTGAGCTGAGTCCCTGCTGCTAAATCAGCTGTCCGGGGGACCAGAATACTCCGGCGCCCATGTTGAATTGTCATGATAACGCGTTTCAGTGACATTATCGCCCACAGACTTGCCTGTTTCAACTTTCAAACATACTTCTGTCGATGAGAAGGAAATGGATCTGAGGTAGGCCCGTATGAGTTCAGCACATTGTGCGCTGACTCTCGGTCCAGTGAGGTCGGTTGTAAGTGAAGCCCATTTGAAGACTGAACAGCTACGAGAAAAACTGGAATTGTTGACGCGTAGGTTTTGGTTCAACTCGTCGAGACAGGTTCATTCCGTTGACAAGCCGACGAAAAGTTGAAGCAGGCCTGTAGCCTACAGTCTTCAAACCAGTTTGCATGAGTTGCGATGCTTCTCTTGATGCCAAGGGTCGACAATGGGGGTCCGTATGGGTCCACCAAACAATGTTGAACTATATTTTTTTTCCTAACATGATGTCGGCGGAGGCGAGCCGAGGGTCAGGAAACGTTGATATGGGCTGAAAATCCAGGCAGGTGGGTCCTCGCGACAGCCGTTGCGGGCAAGGACACGAAAATAGATCTGAATCGAGAGCCCAAACTTGTTTCAGCGCTCAACTGTCAATTTGAGTGTTGGAAAACGCACCCGGGAGGAAGGAAGTGCGGAGGTTTTGAAGACCGCCGAGAATAGAGTGTCGTCTCTCTATCCATGTTCAAGCCTCGTGTCCGATAGTTGAATCACTGGGAGTCTAGCCACCGGTCAACAAAGGGAGCCTTGAATCGAGGAGTCGCTCCGGCGCTAAACTGTCAATTTTGCATTTTACTGTGGTGGAAATGAAGTCGTACGTAGTATCGCGACGGTCGGAGGGTTGCAAATGTTTTGTTCGATGCTGGAGAACATACGTTGACTGTGAATTATACTATCAGGACGCGCACTCGAGGCCAAAGTAGCATGTATCGGGGAACGCGGAGAGGATTATTACCATTTATCATTTTATGTGTCGCAGGCGCACTCCGCCGCCGCTTTGACTTCTCGCATGGCCTGATAGTGTAACGACAACACACTCTCTTGCTATGCCGGCCTTCCATACATTTCTGAGGGAGCCTCTTGTTCAAATCAAGGTCAGGCCAGCATCCCTTTTTTTTCAAACTTCTTGGACTATCTTTATTCTGCGTCGTGTTCGATTTCGTATGGTACGCAGACCTGTATTTTTACAGTAACACATCCGAGCGTGGAACTTGAGATGAAGAAGTATTATTGTAATGTGGAGGATTTCAACCATCATGGCCGCGGAGATAAGTCGGATTCGACCTTACTCCCTGTCCAATAAGTACGGCGTTAAGCATGGCCTGGTGTCGTAGCGGTAACGTACCCTCTTGTGTTAGCCAGTTGACCATGTTCTGAGGGAGTCCCTTGTTCAAACCAAGGCCAGACCATATTTCGGCGTTCGGATTTATTTGCCCAGAGTCATCCTACGAGCATGTCCGGTATGTTTCAGAGCCCGTCCGTCAATTTTTGTATCCCGACGGTGATCAAAAGGTATCGCGAAGATTGAAACATTTCCAGAGGGCAGAGAACATAGCTCGTTGAGTTGGTTAACTTGGTTTGTCAATTTTACTTTTGTGGAGATGAAGTACGTATACACGTAGCGCGCGGTAAGTATCGGGGAGCGCGGAGGCTCTCCAAAGTTCGTATGTTTTATCCCCGCAGAGAACATACAGCTCCCTCCCTTGTTCGAGTCGTGTTGACCGCGGACTTGTCAATCTGGCTGCAGAGCAACACATGCGCACCCGAGGGATGCAAAGTATCGCGAAGTGCGGAGGGTTTGAAACCGCGGAGAACACAGTGAGTCTGCTCAACATACCTCTATATCCAGGGGGTTCAAGTGCCATAAGTATTCCTCTCGTGAGTTCCGCGCTAAACTGTCCAATAAACACTCCCAACAAGCCACATACCCATTTAAACGAGGCACGGAGGGTCGTATGTTCAAAATCATGTACAGCAGTCCTTTCGTGAGTTCCGCGGTAAACTGTCCAATAAACGGTCGAATAAGAACTGCAGACCCATTCGAGCGAGGTGTATGTTCAAAATCTAGGCACCGACCTGTCGAATAACCGTGCAAAAGCGCACCCGAGATGAATGTTGCGTTATGATGTTGTACATACTCCCGCATCCGTCTCTCCCACGGTTCAAAAATATCCAACCATGTGGGTTAGACCTAGGGCGGCGTTGGCGTTGGCTCTTAGCTCTGCATGACTCAAAACATTAGCTGGGTATCGTAAATTATACCGCATAGTCGTCTGGTCTGGCTCTCATCGTTCGAAGTTGAACAAGTCTAAGGCGGTGTCGTCCTTGGACTCTTTTTTTTTTCTTGAAAAAAAATCAACATTGAACCAGCTTCCACCCTCCACGCTGGGATGCACTCCAAATACGTTATATTCAAATATAATCGTAACGGAGGTTCGATAATTGCGCTTGGCATTTGCTTAAACTGCGACCACGTAGTCCGGTCAGGAGGCCGAGGAAACCGAGACTGTTTCTTTTCTGCGAGAGGTCGTTGAATTCCGATGAAAAGGATGTTGCTTCCGCAGCTTGAGTTACACGGACCCCGAGATGAACATGGAGGGACCTGGACGACCCACGATAATCTGACGATGCGAGGGCGATCTTCAGGTTCACCTTTTCGGCGGTCGCCTGGCAGGACGGAATGAGAACAAGAACGAGAATAAATAATCAGGGACGCTGTAACTGTTTGGGCGACGTGGAAACGGGTTTGCTAAAGAGCAAGAGCGTCGCTGCGACTAAAGAAATAAACTCTAACTCTCAGTGCCCGGGACCCAGGCATGACCAGAAATGAAACTGAAACTGACTCACTTTTGTCTGTTTGGTACGTGATATTTCGTAGGGCTGACCAGCCACAGGCACTCCCGACGCCCAACAAGGGCGTCGCATGAACTCACGGCCCGAGATTAACTTTGTCTGCGAAACACAGGGACGACAACGCGAAACGAAACGAAACATAACGACGCGCTCTCATGATGCCCTCGCACGGCGCTAGACCTCAATAATAGGGTGGTTAGACTAGAGAAGATGAGACACAGAGGGGCGCGAGCTAAGAGCTTGGAGAGTCCGCTCTGAGGAGATGAATGTTGCAGTCGAAGTTTCGATTAAATAAATATACCCCGACTCCCGAGGCGCGCAGTCCACTCACTGCTACGTCGGGAGTCAGCCACAGATCCCGTCAGCCAGACAAAGTCCCTCTGCAGTCGAATTCGAATGCAAGCCCCGAGAATAATGCAAGCGAAAAGAATACAGAATAAGGTTCCCCGGGTGCTAAACTTCCCCTCAACCGCATACAGTCGAACTTCGCACGTTCATACAACAACGGTGAACTAACCCGAATGCGAATGCGAATGCGAATGGTCCAAGCTCACATGTTGGACATACAGGGGTCAGACTCGGGACGCCTGTGCCTTGGAGACGAGAAAAGACAAGGATCGAATGTTGAGAGGTAAGGATCGAGAGAATGTCATAATTTGAGCCTTTCTGTCATACGTCAGATTCCACTGCGCACCGCCGCGAGCGGGGGCGCCCGCAAGAAAAAAAACGGAGGACAAGGCTGGACAAGTTTTAAGGACAAGCCTACCCGAAGAAGTGGATCAATGGGAGAGACCTGTGGGCTGTGGGCGCGTTGACGACGGGTTTTAATCTTAAACTTAAAACTTCAAGCAATATCCGAATTTCGAATGTCCGAGTTGCCGGATGGGCGAATTGCGAAAGGGTAGGCGGGACCGGGGAGTCTGAGAGCGCCGGCACAGGCACAGAGGCGAGATGAATTGTCATCCGTCGATCCGTCGGCCTGTTGCCCCCTGAGAAGGAAAGATTGAAGACTGAGGAAAGGCTGGGAGTCGCAAGCGTTGTAAAAACAAGTAGACGCAAGAAATTGAGGGAGAAGGCGGGCGAGAGGGCGAGCGAGCGGAATTGATCGCGCATCAGGCGCCGTGCTTTGTCTTCTTTTTCGTCTTTTTTTTTCTTGCTTTTTCCCGTCGTGCGCTTTTCGTCACTCCCTGTTCGCCGCTCCCCATCACCCCCGGAAAAAGCAATTCTCCTAAAACCGGGCGCCACACCGCGACCTTACAACACAGAAGTTCATTTCACGAATCGAAATCATTTCGAATCAGACATGATCTCGACTTGTGTCTACTTGTGTAGCCGAAATGAAAGTGAAGCGAAGCGATTGGATTGTTGGGATGTCGACGTCGGTTAGTTGAAAAAAAATCCGCTAGCGGTTGGGGAGTTCTCAGTGTGCCCGGGAGCGAGGGTGATGAGGATGAGGGAGGATATGGCGGTCGGAATGCACTTTTATTAAAATCGCTATAAACTCTGGGTTTCCATCGTAAAATGTCAAAATTACACTTACAAAGTCGGAAAAACACAAGTTTGTTCAGTTTGGGCGGGAAAGCCTCAGTTCATTCAACGACGTCGAGATTGTGTAGTTCAACTTCGGAGCTCGAACTTTGTATAAACATTCCATCTTGAAACTTTGTATAAAATGTCTGAAAAAAAAAGTTTGTATAAAGTTGAGCCGTCGTTCTCAAGTGTATAAAGTCGCAGTGAAGAATTGTGCAAAGTCTCCGTGAAGACTTTGTATAATCTGAACCCGGCGGTATCACTGATGGGCAGCGGTGCTAACCCTAGTGATGGCATCGCCGACTCGATTGGGTCGTCGTTGGATTTTCCGTTACACCAAGGCAGAATCAAGCCAAACGTTACACGAAGCAAATTAGGTTGATTAAGAAGTGTGAGTAAGGACGAGACAAGTCTAAGGAAATTCCGAGCACAATTTCATCTAAGTAACCGAATCATAACAGGTATCGTGGTCCCAATGGACGGATATCAACATCTCTATCAAGCGGGATAAGAGGAGGACAATAGGGAGACGGGCAGAGGGAGAGGTGGATACTATCGTGACAAAGCAGATGGGTTCGTAGAGATGTGCGGAAGTTCCGAGGGGGAGAAGTGTTTGGGACTGATGCCACGACGCTATGCCGTTTCATCCTCGACATCGGCGCTGTCGTCGCTGTCGGAGACATATGGCCTGCTCCAGAAGTGAGGATCGAGCTCAAACTCATTTCCCCAGTCCATGAACGGCTTCGACGTAAACCCACCGTACATCGTGTAGTCTGACGTCCTAGCCGTTCTAGACGTCATAGGGAAATTGTCGTCGTCGTCATCCGAATCCAACGTGGTGACTACAGCACCAGCAGCGGTTGTGGTTAGGCTGGGGTGCGGCTGAGGAGCAGCAATGACGGATACACCGACCGCTGCCGCGGTTGCAGCAACCACCGGTGTCGGCGCCGTGGGTGGAGGAGGGGCAGCTGAGACCACCGGTGTCGGTGCGATGGGTGGAGAGGCCAGGACCATGGGGAAGTCTTCGGTGTCGGACACGGAGACCCAGCTCGGAGCAGGGGAGGCTATCGAGACGATTCAGCCAGGCAGAAAAGTCAAAGTGAGAGTAACTGACGGGATTTAGCTTTCTTTGTTTTCTTTGCCGACTGTGTCAAGTTGAAGGGCTCACTCCCAACTACAAAGATTGTAAGCACGAAGGAAGATCGGATTGCAATGTACTGACAGGACTTTGCCTTGACTTTGCCGAGCACCTTCTTCGACGGTGCGCGGGGAGATTCTGTCAAAGCATGAGGTGTTATACACGGAACGGCATAGCTCAACTCACCATCAGGGTTGTGCCAAGGTTCATTGTCGGACTCGTCTTCCTCCATGACATACTCGTCCTCCGAATCACTGTCGACAACTATCTCGTCACTGGGAGACGGCGCATTGAAGATCCACTGGCCATCTTTGTGGTCCCAGACAGACTCTGCGATGTGTTGAGGTGCCGCTACGAGATCACGTTAGAAGAACGTCTGGAGCTTGATGTGAGATAACATACCCAGGAAGATTTTACGATTGGACGGGACGGCACCCAAGTATCTATGAAATTCCTTGGCATCCGCAACGGCGTCGGAAACAGTGAGGTCCTTGTTGTCTCTAATCAACTGTTGCCAATGGAACAGACGTGGATAAACATCAGGATCGATGGGATAGAACAAATCCATGTAAGTGAAGTAGTCGGGGAAGAGGGTGCGAAACCATGAATCCATTTGGACCACACCCCAATCGATGTTGAAAGATAGAGTCCTGCGGATGCCGTTGACAGCGAGACCCCGCCCCTCAAACTTGGCGACGGCAGCTCCTCCGGGGGTTTTAAATGCAGTACGCCATTTGTTGCCCTGTATTTTACAGTCAATGAAGGGAAACACTGAAAGTTTCATAGCGACGTACCAGAAATACAATCATGATCACTTCTCCCATAGTGATTTCTTTCACTTTCTGTCGCTGTCAATGGGTAAGTGATATTCGAACCGGTGCAAGCTGA